CCTTGAGGAATCACTTGAGCAGCTCAGTCCAGTGTGTGTGAATGTCACTGCTTGAAATGAAAATTGGCCAAGCTGAATGACGGTTATTTCCCAAACCAGCTGTCAGAATCTGCTCTGCCTGCTAAAGAATTCCACTTTTCTCTGTGTTGTTTGGTATACTGAAAGGGAAGGGGGGGGGGTAAGGAATTTCATGGGAAAGGAAGGAAGGAGGGAAGGAAGGAAGGAATTTGATGGGAAAGGAAGGGAGGGAAGGAGGAAGGAAGGAAGGAAGGAAGGAAGGAAGGAAGGAAGGAAGGAAGGAAGGAAGGAAGGAAGGAAGGAAGGAAGGAAGGGAGGGAGGGAGGGAGGGAGGGAAGGAGGAAGGAAGGAAGGAAGGAATATGATGGGAAAGGGAGGGAGGGAGGGGAGGGAGGGAGGAAAGAAGGAAAAAGCAGGGAGGGAGGGAGGAAGGGATTTGATGGGAAAGGAAGGAAGGAAGGAATTTGATGGGAAAGGAAGGGAGGGAGGGAGGGAGGGAAGGAAGGAAGGAAGGAAGGAATATGATGGGAAAGGGAGGGAGGAAGGGGAGGGAAGGAGGAAAGAAGGAAAAAGCAGGGAGGGAGAGAGGAAGGAAGGGATTTGATGGGGAAGGAAGGAAGGAAGGAAGGAAGGAAGGAAGGAAGGAAGGAAGGAAGGAAGGAAGGAAGGAAGGAAAAAAGAAAGAAAGGAATTTGATGGGAAAGGAAGGGAGGGAGGGAGAGAGGGAAGGAAGGAAGGAGGGAGGGAGGGAGGGAGGAAGGAAGGAAGGAATATGATGGGAAAGGAAGGGAGGGAGGGGAGGGAGGGAGGGAGGGAGGAAGGAATATGATGGGAAAGGAAGGGAGGGAGAGGAGGGAGTGAGGGAGGAAGGAAGGAAGGAAAAAGCAGGGAGAGAGGGAGGGAGGGAGGGAGGAAGGAAGGAAGGAAAACCTTATGAGTAGTAAGTTATCTACTTTCTATAATATAGATGCTCAAACGTAATTCCAAATTATTACAAATACTATTAGTATTACGTTCAACATGAATTATGCAAAGCATTACATTTTATGTAAATATACTTACTTTCCCAAACTGACACATCTATGTTTGATTATGGAACTCCTTTTGTTTGGGGGTTTATTATTATAATTATTTTATTAGCCATTATGCGGAATTTATAGGGCAGACTCTAACATGCTGGAAACGACCCCTGCAAAGCGCAGAAGAAAGATAATTTTAGCCTCTCAAAATAAGAAGCGTTCAGGAATGATAATAACTATTTATCAGATTACAAACTAACCAGAAAACCATTAGAAATCCTTGCACGCACACAAACACACACACAAAATGAAGGATGAGAATGTGCTTGTTTTGAATAAAAGAAAGCTTATTCTGGCTATAGTAGAAATCTTATAAAATTGCTGCAATGCATAGGGCAGGGCTAGGCAACTTCGGCTCTTTTACGACTCATGGACTTCAACTCCCAGAATTCCTGAGTCAGCTATGCTCAGGAATTCTGGGAGTTTGAAGTCCATGAGTCATAAAAGAGCTGAGGTTGCCTACCCCTGGCATAGGGCAATCAGAGCAAGCAACAGAGAGGTGCTGAATTGTGTAAAACCAGACACACCCCTCGAAACCCAACTCACAAGACTACATCTGATTTACCCTGCCATGTGAGCAGATTCATTGGAGAAGACAGTGGGGCTCAGAATGGTTAGTAGAACAAGAAGAAGAGGCAAGCCAAGAACAAGCTGGCTTGATAACACCACAACTGATGAACATGAACATCCAAAAGCTGAAAGAAGCAAAGTCCATGTTCTGGACAGAGAGGACTTCTGTGTTGGAAGAGGGGTCAAGGAGGCTATCTGTATTAAAACTGAACAGCTCTCTTTCAATGGAGGGGGTTTGGGATACGACACCACCCATCTCCTGTCTACAACATAGACCTTTCAGCAGCTCCAAGAAGGCTCCACACCCATTTGCACCATTCAGGTGGCCCCTAGGGCGCAGATGATCCTCCAAGTGGCCTCAACGACTCTCAGGAAGAGTACTAACGACCAGAGGACTTGCAAGGAATATAAATCCTTTCCGTCCTCCACCCTTCAGTCAGAACTGAAGCAGCTTCTTGGATGAGACGCGAAACGTCTCCAAGGAGGAACCAAGAAAGTCTAGTTGACTTGCCAAAAAGCACCTTTGGGACAACTATGACATGGATGAGTGAGAATCTCCAGAGACAACTGAAAGAAGATCTGATTGACAGGGTAGCATGTAGAACGCTTGCCTCTCAAGTCACCAAGTCACACGACTAAATGGTTAAAAAAACAAAATCGGCACAAAACAAAACATTTCAGTGCTGGTAATGGTCTAAGATTCCTGGTACAAGTAAATCACTTTGGAACATGCTCTAAGTGAAGAACATGAGAAGGATGGCAATAACCCTCTTTGTAAATCCGATTATGTCACCTTGCTAACTGTCAAAGAGAAAAAAAAATGCAAATAAGTGGGAAACTCATTTCTTAGGACAAAATATTCTGCAACATCAGCATTCTCCAGCTGGCAATTTAAAAGGATTAGCCCCTTCGTCCCAGAGGCAGGATGAAAGCTAACACGGCATTACAAATGTCTTAACACGTTGAAATGGATGGGGCGATGCAGTCATATTTCAATATTGGACGTTGGAGTGGATTTTTACAACGTTTGTGAGATTCTTCTGAGCAAGACTAGGGGTTGAAATCAAAAAATAAATATGTCAAAATAAAAAAAAAAATAGGGGGTCAACTTGTTTTCCAAAGCCCCAGAAGGCAAGACAAGAAACAACAGATGGAAACTAACCAAGGAAAGAAGCAACCTGGAACTAAGGAGGAATTTCCTAACAGTGAACAGGAAACTAATGGAACAGAATTTCAGAGGTTGTGAATTCCAGAAGTTGTGAATGCTCCAACACTGGAAGTTTTAAAGAAGAGATTGGGCCATCATTTGTCTGAAATGGTCTAGGGTTTCCAGCCTGATCAGGGGGTTGGACTAGATGACCTCCAAGGTCCCTTCCAATTCTGTTATTCATTAAAGAGAGGTCCAACCTAGAACTAAGGCGAAATTGTAAGAACCATTAATTGTGAGAACAATTAACCAGTGGAGTGGCTTGCCTTCAGACTTTGTGGATGCTCCATCACTGGAGGTTTTTCAGAAGAGATTGGACAAGCATTTGTCTGAAATGGTCTATCTAGGGTCTCCTGCTCAAGCAGGGGTTGGTCTAGAACACAGGTCAGCAACCCGTGGCTCCGGAGCCACATGTGGCTCTTTGAGCCCTCCTGCGGTTCCCAGCCTCCTCCGCCATTTGCAGAGAGAGAGACAGAGACAGAGAGAGGCACTTGCACTTCCCTTCTCTCTCTCTCTCTCTCTCTCTCTCTCTCTCTCTCTCTCACTCTCTCTCTCTCTCTCTCTCTCTCTCTGTGTGTGTTTGTGTAAAAAAGAGAGTGGCCTCATGCTGTTCTTGGACAAGCTGATAAGCTTATTGGGTGGGGCTCCTCCCTGTGCTGCATCTCAGCAGGAAGCAGCAAGCAGCAAGCAACAGCACTCTCTCTCTCTCTCTCTCTCTCTCTCTCTCTCTCTCTCTCACACACACACACACACACACACACACACACTGAGTGGAGGAAGAGGACTGGCAGACCAAGGGCAGGAGAGAGCCAGCCCAATAAGAATCTGTGTCAGCTTGTCGGAGAACAGCGTGAAGCCAGCTTGCCAGGTGAGCAGAAGATTGGAGAGAAAGGGGAAGAGAGAGAGAGGGAGAGAGGGGAGAGGGGATAGAGAGAGAGAGAAGAGAGAGAGAATTCATGCACAACAGCCTCTATTTCTTTTTAATTAAACTCTTCAATCAAGCTCCCCACCCCTCGTATGCACATGTGCGTGCACACGCACGTTTTGCAGCTCCCAGTGTTTTCTTTTCTCTGGGAAATGGGTCCAAGTGGCTCTTTGAGTGTTTAAGGTTGCCAACCCCTGGCCTAGAAGACCTCCAAGGTCCCTTCCAACTCTGTTATTCCATTAAGACGCTTTGATAACTGGATCGGCCAGAAGAAACATGAAACGAATCCCTTACTAAACATTCCAGGAGCCATTACTTTTATGTTCACATCAAAATGGAGAAGTAATAGGGGGAGAAACAGCTTTGCAAAAAAAAAAAAAAAAGCCTATGCCAGGGATGACATTTTGCAAACAACAGGACACAAGCCCCCTGAGCGGTTTCTTAAGCAAACCCCACTGAAACGAATAAGTGTGTGGTGCCGGTCTCCCTAATTCCACAGGAATGTTTCAAGAAAAAAACCCAGGAGGCCTTTTTTTTTTTTTTACTCCATCACAAAGAAGAGTTGTAAATTCCACCCAGTCGGAACCTCTGACATACATTCAGGCTGTGACCGAGGCAGACGGCACAGCCACATCCTGATAGAAACACTATTTTCTCAGCAAGCAATGATTGCACTCTGAATGTCGGAGAAATGGAGAAAGCAGCTTTTTTTCGCCTGAAGAGAAGACGTGTTAAAGCCTACAACAAAAATATCCATTTATTTGGATGGCGGAGTAGAGAGAGAAAGAAAGAGAGAGAGAAAAAAAATGGAAAAATCCTGTGGCTGAGATTAAGGCATTGTTTTTATTTTTATTCAGTCCCCCCAAAAAAGAAAGAATAATCTGTCAGGATATTACTTTTCACGTATTGACAAATATACACACCAATTGCAAAAAAAAAACCCCACGGTTGATCTAGACCAGGGGTAGGCAACATTGGCACTTTTATGACTCATGGACTTCAACTCCCAGAATTCCTGAGCCAGACACACTGAGGGGAAAGGGAGAGGTTTCCAAGCTGAGCCAAGCTGGCTCAGGAATTCTGGGAGTTGAAGTCCACGAGTCATAAAGCAGCTTAGGCTTAGGGCAGGGGTAGGCAACCTTGGCTCTTTTATGACTCGTGGACTTCAACTCCCAGAATTCCTGAGCCAACATGGCTCAGCTTGGAAACTGCTCCCTTTCTCCTCAGCATGGCTGGCTCAGGAATTCTGGGAGTTGAAGTCCACGAGTTATAAAAGAACCAAGGTTGCCTTCCCCTGATCTAGACAGATAAGATGCTAGTACAACCACTAGGGGACCTGTAGGCCTCAGGTTTCAAATGGTTGTCATGGCAACAAGCTCGAAGGCCTACCCCTTCGTACTGCCATCTTAATTTTTTTGATGGTGTTTCAAACTTACGACCTTTGCAGCATTTGATCATGTGCTCAAAAGTCGAATGCTTGGCAACTGACTCATACTTATGATGGTTGCCATATCCCAGGGTCACGCGACCCCTTTTGTGATCTTCTGACAAGCCAAGCCAATGGGGAAACCAGATTCACTGAACAACCATCTTACTAGCATATTAACTGCAGTGGTTAACTTAACAATTGTCTCACTTAATAACAAACATTTTAGGATTAATTGTGATTGTAAGTCAAGGACTACCTGTACTGCTGCTTTTTTTTTTTTAATACAACTGGTCATTTTTTTTATGGGACCCAAAGTCTATTAAAATGGATCATGCTATCTACCCAAAATGTACTGTATTGGGGCTAAAGAATTAACCCAACATGAAGCTGGTTTAACCGTTCTTCTAGGTTCACATCACCAATTGAACCATAAAGTAATCTAACTGTTATGAGTTTGCATAACACTTTATGGTATTAAAAAACATAATCAAGGAATGAAGGCTAACAAAATTAGGCAGCCGCTGAATCTGAAACTGGTCAGATCTGTTGGGTTGGATATCAAAGTAACCCGAAGCCTCTTTTCATAAAAAACAGTTCTCACGAGACCTGCGCCAAATTTGGCCTCAGAACAGATAAATTTGGATTCTTTTTGTTCCAGAAAATAGAAGTGTATAACCCCTATTAAAAACACAGAATCGGGGGAAAAGAAACCCATTTTTTTTCACCCCCCCTCCCCTCCGATACATTTATTGCATCGTCTCTACTCTACCCAAACCCTCTTTTTGGATTTTTTTTTCCAAAAGAATATTTTTAACAAAGTGATCAGATCCAAAACACGTTCTCTTTGCTTGATGATGATTTGCAAATGGATTGGGCCTTTGCTCCCCTATGTCCTCGAATTTTTTTCAATGTATTTTTGTGGATTCGGGGACTGGAGCTTTGAATCTCCCTGGGAAAACTATTCTGGTTGAAGGGGCGCAAAAAGTAAGTCATAGCGAACGAGGTAACCATCATTGTAGATATACAGCCTCCGGTCAATTGGGCTATAGTTTATGCTCTGGATGGTTTCCAGCACTTTATCCACAATGATGCTTAGTGTCCCTTCTTTCCCAGTGTTGGTATCAAAGGAATAAAATATCTCTTCTTTCCTGGTGTTCAGAGGCCTAGTAGCATAGAGCACCCCACATATAATAAAAGCATTAGAGACCGCTGGCCTGTATTGCTTTGTTTGCCATGTGTTCAACACATCAAGAGACGTTTCGTTAATCCGGCTAATGACTATGTTACCTCGGCTGGCTTCTGTGGAGTAAATAACCCATAAACTACTCTCATCCACGGCAAAATCCATGTCTTGCCAAGCTACCCCCGCATAGGAGAACCGATTGTTAGAAACGGCGCCTGGAAGAGCCTTCCTCAACACCAACTTATTGGTTGCTAAATCTAGCTTACCCATATCTCGCGAGCCATATACATTATAATACATAAAATTATTGTGCACGGCCGTTCCACTGCCTTCGCCATACTGAATTTGGTTTTGCCTGGAGTATTTGAAGAGCAGCAAATCATCGTAGGAATTGTGGAGTCGGTAATATTCCAGGTATCTTCCTTCGGCATTTAGAGGTGCAACCCAATAAAGCTCTTTTCCAGGGCTAAGAGGAGAGGAATATCTGCCCCAGGCTCCATATTTGTAAGAAAACCCTCTCCAGTTGAGCTGGATCACGTACGGTTGACTGATGTTCAAAATTGGGCCATGACCACAGTTCCCTATAATCAGGAAAGAAAGAAAAAACAGGATGTTTACATGTGGGAGATTACAAACACATTCAAAGGCCTGGAGCCTAAAACATATGAAGAACGGTTGCGGGACTTGGGTTTGGCAAGTCTAAAGAATAAAAGAAATAGAGGAGACATGATAGCAATGTTAAGGTATCTGAGGGGCTATCACAAGGCAGAGGGGGTCACATTATTCACCAAAGCACCTGAGGGCAGGACGAGAAACAACGGCTGGAAACTGATCAAAGACAGAAGCAATCTGGAATTAAGGAGAAACTTCCTGACAGTGAGGACAATCAACCAGTGGAACAGCTTTGCCTTCAAAAATTGTGGGTGCTCCATCACTGGAGGTTTTTAAGAAGAGACTGGACAGTCACTAGTCTGAGATGGTATAGGTTCTCCTACGTGAGGATCGAGATATAAATTAGATAGTAGTTGTGGTGGTTTTCTCCTACTCTTCGTTTGTGAGATTCTGAGAATTTTTTTTTAAATGCTATTGACTATCGTAGAACTTATGTCTGTGTTTCCCTGCCTAATGAGAGATTTTTTTTTAGCAGAAGCAGCTTCCCAGGCCTTTAAAAGGATGTGAAGACCACATACAGCCCCAGGTCGCAAACTATCTACCTATGATGCGTCTTATCTATTGATTAGTTAGATTGCAATAGATCTAGAGAAAAGCTATTTCAAGATGATCTTCAGAAATGAATAACTGATGAGAAGTATCCAGCTCAAAAGGAAAAGCACTCTCGTGGAATCGAGAGTCTATCATTTAGTATCCAAGAAATTGGCGAATAATTTCCTTAAGGAGGCGTTTCCTAATGCAGGTCAAATATCACGCAATTTTGTCTTGAAGAGTAGGGTTGTAACTTTTGAAGAGTTTGTTATTTTGAGAATTTGTACCCTGCTTTTCTAGTGGCCATAGCTGTTCCTCGGTGGCTGAATCAGATTACCTAAATGCAAAGTTACAATTTTTTTAAAAAAAAATCCCAGAAAAAGACAAGGGCAAATTGTATCTGTCTTTTTGGCAAGAAAACCTGACAGATGTGACTAAAAGTCCAGCTCAACTCAAGGGAAATGTCAAGACATTTTTTTTTCAAAAAAGTCGTGCCCATAGTAGGGCAGTAGTAGGACATAGTAGGGCATGTAGTAGAGCTGTGTTGCTATTATCCTTTTCATCTTTCTTGCCTTCTCATCCTTCCTACTGCTTTCTCCTATCGGTATCGTATGATTGTATCTCATGAATTATGATCTACGATGTATCTCTTTGCTATTTATATGTACACTGATAGCTTCTGCACTGGAGACAAATTCCTTGTGTATCTAATCACACTTGGCCAATAAAGCATATTTCAATAATCCAATATTTTCTACCAGAGCAAAGGACTTGTAAATCAAACTTACTTCCCAATCGTAGGCAAAACAAACTCAAACCTAAGATGAACTTTCAGCTGGAGCTTCACAGGCCAGACCTTCCTAAAGTGGTTTGCTTCCAAGTATTTTGACCAAAATAACTAGCCTTCCCTCCATTGCTGATCCAAATTTAACTCCAATAATGCATTCACAATTGTTACCAGGTCTCCTATTTGCTTCTTTGGCCTTAGAAAGAACTATATTTGTAACTCAAGAGTCTTCAGATCAAAATGCTGGTCTCTGATCAAGCAGTTGTTCTCAAATTTGACTCCTAGGCACAATTCTTCTTTCTTCCAATCCTTCCCCAATACCAAGGGGAGGGGCTGAATGGCTAGCAATCTATGTCAACAATCAGAAGATATCACTAAGGATATTAAATACTTAAACTGGGCTTTGAACCCTCTTGGCAACATCTTGGCAACAAAGATGAAGCGAAGACATTGGACATAGATCCAACTGTTGAAATGAAACTAGGGATGAAGCTATCGCAATGTTCTCTCCATCCTTGTCTCAATTTTGGGGCAATGCCTCTGATCTGGCATGATAATGCCGATCAAAAAGAGAAGCTCTGCCATTGGTTTTTTCTGCTGGAACTGCAGGAAGAAGCACAGCATTGTCTGACTTTACATTGGCATGACATCAAATGGATGAGTACATTACTGGTTTTGATGCTTACAGGGAGCATGATGACCCAAACTGTCGATTTATATCTCAGAGGCCTCCCAGTTTGAGGGCCTATTGCAGTTAGGAAATAGACCTCAGATATTTTTTTTTTTTAATATTGATCAGAATTCACTTTAGGAAAAGATGGGGGTCACAGGCATACTCTCTCTTGAGTGCTTTTATAATAAGCAATTGAACTGTGAATCAGTTCATTCTCCACTCTCTGGAGTTGGCGTGCACTACAGTATTCTGTGTAGCAGGTGAGGGAAATCAAGAGAGGGTGGATATGTAAAAAAGCATCCATGAATTATAAAGGAATTAGCTCTAGGCTTTCCTCCATTTTCAGTAAGTATCTGTTCCCTGCCGTTTTTGTAACAGATATTTACAGTATCTCGGTGTATAGGTTGAATAACCCCACAATCAATACAAAAGCTACAAGTGATGCAAAGAGCCATGGAAGGAGAACACACTCAGCATCACAAGACAAGATAGAAAGACCTGCACGTGGATTAGAGAACAAAGGAAAATACACAATAGTAAAAGAACAGAAATGGAAATGGGTTGGTCACATAGTAAGAAGAACGGATGGCAGGTGGAGCAAGGCAGGCATAGAACAGATCCCATTTGATCACAAGTGTCCATGAAAGAGACCTAAAACAAAAGGGAGCAATGACACCAGCAAGTATGGCGGGCCCAACTGGCAAAAGAAAGCTCAGGAGCGTATGGGTTGGAAACATGCAGAAGAGGCCTGCATCCTGCAGTGGATAAACAATGGCTAACATGATGGTGATGTTAGGTTGAAACCCAAATATAAATACTAATTTCGGGGGGGGGGGAGAAATCTGCATAAGGATTGTTGGCAATCTTTGCAATGTCTGTTGGCCATCTCAAAGGTGCTTTTTCTGGAGGCAACTGGACTTTCTTGTTTCTCTTTGAAGACGTTTCACTTCTCATCCAAGAAGCTTCTTCAGCTCTGACTGGATGGTGGGGGAATGGAAGGATTTATACTCCTTGCAGACAGCTGGTCATTTGCATTCTTTCAGAGAGTCATTGAGGCCACTTGGGTTTACCTGTGCCCTCATGGGACTTTCTTATTATTCTTTGAAGATGTTTCCCTTCTCATCCAAGAAGCTTCTTTAGTTCTGATTTAGTTGGTGGGGAATGACAGGGTTTATACTCCTTGGAGACGGCTGGTCATTTGCCTTCTTTCAGAGAGTCGTTGAGGCCACCTGGAGGTTTGTCTATGTCCTCGGGGTCACCTGAGTGCTGCAAATGGGTGAGGAGCCTTCTTGGAACCGCTGAAAGGTTTCCATTTGCACTACTCAGGTGATCCTGAGGATACAGATAAACCTCCAGGTGGCTTCAACAACTCTCTAAAAGAAGGCAAATGACCAGCTGTCTGGAAGGAGTATAAATCCTTCCATTCTCCCCACCATCCAGTCAGAGCTGAAGAAGCGTCTTGGATGAGAAGTGAAACGTCTTCAAAGCAAAACAAGAAAGTCCAGTTGCCTCTTGAAAAAAGCACCTTGGACCATGATCTGGATGACTGAGAATCTCCACAGACATTTTCCTGTCGGCAAATTTTCCCAAAGTTTCTTTTTTTTTTCCTCATCCAAGAAGCTTCTTCACTTCTGAACTGAAGAAGCTTCTCGGATGAGAAGCGAAACATCTTCAAAGAAAAGATAGTTGCAGTGTCCCGGGGTCAAGCGATCAGCCTCTGAGACTTTCTGACAAGCAAAGTCATTGGGGAAGACAGCTGTGTAACTAACTTAAAAACTGCAGTGGTTCACTTAACAACTGGGGCAAGAACGGTCATAAAATGGGGCAAAGCTCGCTTAACAACTGTGCTGCTTAGCAACAGAAATATCAGGCCCAGTTGTGATTGTAAGTCGAAGTCTACCTGCAAAACTAATAGTAACCTAAAGGAATTAGTAATCGCCTAGTAAATTCATAGGTGAGGAAGTTGAACGGGGGGTCTTCCAAATTCATATTCTTCACACTTCTGCATCACCATGTAATCAACATTAGCTTTTGGCATATCTATCTTTCTGAATATACCTCCATCAGCACAATAAAAAAAAGCCAATACAGATTATAGTCATTTTATGAGCCAGGTTTATGGCTAAATGCCTTGCAGCTTACCAGCTTTTAAATCAATAGCAGCCTTTTAGACAGCGGAGAGAGATACGTATAAGGTAATATGGCCGCCGTAATTTATAGTTTGTCCTTAACTGTCAACACATTGACTGAATTAATATTCCTAAATCAGGAGCGTTCTTTTCAAATTAAATGCTTATTAATGACTTGCATAAATCTGAAAAAAAATATACTTAAAAGGGAACACCTGTACTCTGCTGTTAAAATTTAAAAGGAAGTGTCATAGCCAGTCGCATAGATTTAGTCTGGCGTCATTTTTCATGTCACTAAGCCAAGCATTGGTCTGGCTTCAATTTAATAATTCATGCCTTGTTTCATAAATTAAAAAAAAAATCATCTATTTAGCCGTGAGATTTTTTTTATTAGACCAAAGTAACAAGAATTCTTTCTTGCCTTTAAAGTGATCTCACAGCTAAACACTTCTGGGTGACTTTTTTTTTAATTTATGGAGTAATCCATGAATAATTAAAGTCATAAATTTATTTGATTTAATAGCAAGCCCGGACTAAGTTTTAATATCTAATTTAGACTTTCTTTTCATTAACAGAAATAATAATACTTTAGGTAAAGGTCTTTACCGTAAGCGGAAAAACAGTCTGCTGTTCAGGCTTTTAAAGTTCATACAATGATTAATTTCGTTTAATGTAAGTCTAATGAACTGCAACATTGGACTGAGAAATGAAAAAAATAAAATAAAGTAAAGCACAATCTCAAATAATAGCCAAATACTTCTGAAATAAATGCCTAGCGTTTCTAACTTC